CCAACTTGCAATACTCAACATTGATAGAAGTTTTGAATGTGAATTAGACAATAGTGGCGAATATGGTACGATCCATGTGTTGTCAACTGCATTTTTCTTTGCATCAGGAAATTCCGCAGAAATGATTTCATCAATTTGATCTTGTGTAAATTTCATCCACCATCCAAAGAAGAATGTGTACGTGCGGCAAAACTCTTTTTTGCCACTCAACAGAGTACATCCAGCATCTAACAACATCATATATATAATACAAACGTTGCTTTACGATAAAGTGCATCAAACATCATAGCTGTTGTTTGAAAAGCCGTGCTGAGACATCGTGACAATCTTGCTGATTGATCGCGATTCAATAATACCGTAATCTATGGCATCGTTACAAATTTCAGTCTGTAATTGACCATTTTGTATGAAACACACATAAAATTTTCACTGACTAATTTTCAAAAATTTACCTTTTGAACAGCCGAAAAAAAGCAAGCAAATGATCGAAATTGAACGATTCAAATAATTTATAAAAAAAATCAATTGGAAAAAAAAAAATTGTATGGAAAAGTCTTCTTCTTCTTTACTGGCGTAGACACCGCTTACGCGATTATAGCCGAGTTAACAACAGCGTGCCAGTCGTTTCTTCTTTTCGCTACGTGGCGCCCATTGGATATTGCATGCGAAGCCTGGCCCTTCTCTACCTGGTCCTTCCAATGGAGTGGAGCTCTTCCTCTACTTCCCTTGGCGAGTACTTCGTGGAATACTTTCAGCTCTGGAGTGTTTTTGTCCATTCGGACAACATGACCTAGCCAGCGTAGCCGCTGTCTTTTAATTCGTTGAACTATGTCAATGTCGTCGTATATCTCGTACAGCTCATCGTTCCATCGAATGCGATATTCGCCTTGGCCAACGCTCAAAGGACCATAACTCTTTCGGAGAATGGAGTTATCTGTAGAAGTTCACGCTAGTGGGGAAAGTTCTCTGGTCGTAATTCACTTGGGAGTGGCCAGAAACAGTTCTTTTATATATGGCTGAAGCAACTCACGACTTCCGGTATTTGACCAAGTATCCTCTGGGTAGCCTCAGATTATCCGTCTGAAGGCGAGCTAAAGTGAGAAGGTGAAACATCTCCTCCACAGGGTTGTACGCTAGGTTTTGGACCCGGAACGTAAAAAAGACTGCCAATGAAAAAGTTAGTTATTGAAAATTTCGCTCGTAAGTCGGGTAAAAATTAACTTTTTCTAATTGTTTTTAACAAACCATCCTTATTGGATTCCGTTGAAAGTGGTTCAGGCCATTTTTCATTTCATACAACGGTTTAGTCAGCTATAGCGAACAGAAAAAACCCAAATTATTTTTATATATACGATAAATTAAACAGGAAGTTTTAATATTGTATAGTAGGTATATGGGGTCTAAGGTCAACCGATTTTATATCTTTTTTTACATTGCCATGCACTATTAACACTACACATACTTATAAGACGTTATTGAGTATTATATTTCCGAGTTATTGAACAAACACAAATTTTAGTAACCAAAAATCGTTTAATTGATTGTTGTCTAAATCTCACGATTAATCACATGGCGATCTTGCAATATCTCTTTTCACACAGAATAAGTATTTATCGAATTACGATCTCGATTTAATTGACCACAACAATGATAAACGCTGGTCCTTGATCGCGCGAAAATGTTTGCCGTTTCATTTAATTTTTAGGCCGATATCAATATTTTAAGTTACTATAAATAACACAAATAGCGCTCGGATGTCAATTATTGTGAGTAGGTATAACTTTAAATCTAGAAATCGCACATAAAGTCTTATTGAAAGACTGAAGCCCGATGTCTGACCCACTGATTTGACTTTATCGGTGTGGCTTTAGACCTGGCAAATCGGCCACATTTTCAACATTCACCAAATTTTGGAAAATACCCGTGAGAGGAAACTGCCCATCACATGACTTTTCCTATCTATTGCTGTTGAAAATAATACGAGCTCTACACTAAATAGGGAAGGTAAAATTTTCTATTATGTACAGCTGTGGCATACGCCAATGTTGATATCATTGACCCCAACAAGCGACGCGTTAGTTCTGCTTTCTCCAGATTGTATGAGGAGAGAAATTAAGGGTTGTATTTAGTATTTTTTGGGTTATTGTGCCTTAAGTGATTTAGAAGATACATACGTATCTGTAGGTGCTGCGATCCCCTGTGTCATACTACAATTTTGAATCTTAGTTTAGAGCTGAGGTATGGCATGCCAGCTTATGGGCATCGAAAGGATCCCATTACTCTCATCTGTGAACTCGAAAGAGAACAAACGCAAATATTAATAACCGGAAAACGCCTTGTTGTTTTTCAAAATATTCTCCATTGAAGCCTATGCACAAATGGCTGTGTAAAGCTCAGAATTTACTGTTCTTGGTTTTTCTGCTGGTTGTCCGCAACCTACCACATTTTGCAAAAAAAACAAAAAAAGGAAAATCTGTAACATGGAAGAGCGCAAACAATTTGTGTTGCATATGAAGAATTTTCCATTAAAAATTTTTATAAACACATTTAGCACCTTAAAAGTATTTTCCTCCATATTTTTTTGAATAGTTATTTTGTTCGCTTTTCCTTTTTGTATGGTGTACAGGATACATTAGTACTAATGATCATTGCTCATGCGTTAAATAATATGATTTTTGGTTTTTTTTTTGTAATTGACCCACTCCCTCTTCCAGACATTTGTTTTAAATTTTTACCGATATTATTCTTGATTGCTAACTTAAAATTTGTCCAAACATATAAACAAACCTATAATATAAAGGAGGAATAATTTTTCGTACAATTTCCATATTTATGAAAATTTTTAAAAATCTACTTCAAATTGATTTTTGGTAGTGTGTTTTTGTCTCTAAAGTAACGTTTAAACATATTTTGGGGCGTCCTTACTATTTCTTTCACATAAATACTTACAAATGACCCATTATTTAAATTTCCACAACTCCCTCATTTAGGGATATATTTCGACAAATATTTTCGATTTTGCGGTTTTATTAATTTCGAAATTATTAATTCCAGATCGATATCTCCAAAACTGAAGGTCTAGTTCGCATATATACAAACATACGGATCGTTTATACTTATATATGTATATTATAGGGTCTGTGACGTTTCCTTTTGGGTGTCGAAAACTTCGCAGCAAACTTAATATCTCTGTACAGGGTTTAAATATTAGGTTGTCAAAAAAGTCTTGCGGTATTTCTTGCGGTATTTTTATTGAATTTTCAATTGTTCATAAAATTTCTTTTTATTACTCATGATCTCTTGACCGATGCTACGGCTGCTACTACGCCGGTCTCTTTCGACCGATTCAGCGATTTTATCGCAATTTTCGACGACAGGCCTTCCGGAGCGTGGCGCATCTTACGACCTATGATTAATATTAGGTTGACAAAAAAGCTCATTCCACGCGCTAACACGTGTTTGATTGATTGTCGTTGATTGATTAAGTCGTTCGTGAGTTATAGCGTCGCAAACATGGAGCAAAATAAAGAGAAAATACGGCATATTTTACAGTACTACTATGATAGAGGCAAAAATGCATCTCAAGCCGCCAATAAAATTTGTGCAGTTTATGGACCCGATACAGCGACGCATGCGAATCACTTTTGAATCGCAACAAAATCGACCCGTTTTTGAAGCGTATGGTGACTGGCGATGAAAAGTGGGTCACTTACGATAACGTAAGGCACAAACGGTCGTGGTCGAAAAGCGGTGAAGCGGCTCAGACGGTGGCCAAGCCATTGACGGCCAGGAAGCTTCTTCTGTGTTTTTGGTGGGATTGTTAGGGAATAATCCACTATGAGCTGCTCCCCTATGGCCAAACGCTCAATTCGGACCTGTACTGCCAACAACTGGACCGCTTGAAGGCAGCACTCATGCAGAGGAGGCCATCTTTGATCAACAGAGGTCGAATTGTCTTCCATCCAGACAACTCCAGGCCACACACATCTTTAGTGACGCGCCAGAAGCTCCGGGAGCTCGGATGGGAGGTTCTTTTGCATCCACCGTATAGTCCGGATCTCGCACCAAGTGATTACCACCTGTGTCTGTCCATAGCGAACGCGCTTGGTAGTCTGAAGTTGGCCACAAGAGAGTCATCTCGTTGGGAACGCGTTATCGAACAAAATGGTACATATTTGACTTGAATCGCATTATTGTAACCAATTTTATGAACAATTGAAAATTTAATAAAAATACCGCAAACTTTTTTGACAACCTATTAATAGAGCGAGTGATTGGCTGGTTTCACTCCAAAGGCTTGTGTATTCAATTTGAACTAAAATGTTTGCACAATACCTCAGATATAATGGCTAATAATGATCCATCTTGTAGAAAGACTAACTATTTTATTTAGAAGTGAAATGATCTCTGTCGCCCTTATCTATTTATGCTGCTCTCTCGCTATACATTTTACATGTAAAATAAGCAATGAATTTATTTTGATTCGAGACAAAGGAGTATGCGGATACCTCAAAAATGTGGTTTCTTCAATTCCATTAAATTTTATTTTGGAGGTTGTATAATGGAGTGGAATGCCCAATGGAATAGTTCAGTTGTTAAATTACCGTCAAAAGTAAAAATTTTCTTTTCATTTTTTAAATGTAAGACTTCAAATAGAATAAACTTATTGTAAAAATGTAAGCGTACACAAAATCAAGAGTTTACTAAAACTGTTTTTTGGTGCGCAGGGAATATTTTCCAGTAAAGCGAGAAGCTTTAAAAGGGTTTCATACATCAGATGATATAGCTGCATTGTAAGCGCTTGCAATTTGGTGTAGTTTGTACTCGCTGGCAATTGATGATTAGAAGATATCTGTTAGTAATACTCGTATGTTAAGATTAATAACGAATTTTCGCCATTAAGATATTAAGTTTCATCTATAAGGAGAATTTTTTTTTATAATTTCATATTTATTGTTTTTCCTGTAAAAAAATATAACGAAGTATTGTTATTTTTTTAGTAAACGCGGTATAATCATGTCGTGGGAGAGCATATCTTCAAAGGATCTTCTCAGGTAAGCACTGTTAGAATTTTTTGTGACCGCTAATGATTTTTGGAGTAAAACTTTTTAAGGCTCGGTATTAGAATCCTATATTAATTGCAACTAAATTTAGGAGGTTAAACCGCAGAGTTACATTTTTTTTAGATGTCTTCCACCTTTCTGAAGATTATAATAGCCCAGACGAGCAAAATTAATGCGCCTTAAGCGACGCTAATGCGCATTGCAATTTTATGCATTTAGACAGCTGATAGTGAACTTTGTTTATTTGTTAAAAAAAAAAAGTAAAATAAAAGTCAATAAGATAAATTATTAATAATATCTTGGTATTTTTGGAAAATCAATATAAATTTAACGAAGAAATTCGTTTATTATTAACAACGTTCAAAGATAATTAAGTGAAATTAAAATCAATAATTGATTGTAATGCGGAAAAAGTGTGCGAAAAAGTTAAGAATATCGGGAAAGAGGATAGCAAACTGTGCGTTGTTTATTTTTTTATATACTTGCACATAATTTAATTATCAATATAAAACTGCTTACCTCTGATGCTGTAAACGCAAAGGAGGCAGTAAACTTCAAGCGACATCTGTCAAAAAATAGCGAAAATCGGTCATTTTTGAGCAGTGTTGCTTACTCAAATTTGGTAAATTCAGCTAAATGCACGAAATTCTTTCATTCTTTACAAACTTGCATTAACATTGGTAAAATGCGCATATAAGTATTCCAGTTACAAACTAGAGGTAATCGGTGTAATAGCAGGAACAGTGAAAAACGTAGAATCGTGGCCCGACTCAGCTGATTCGACCTATCTTATGGGCGCGCAATGTGAGTGCACTGTGAAAAACGCTACTCCCTTCTCTCTTTGACGTATAATAACGAATTTTTCTATTTAAAATTTTCTATTATAGCAGAACCAGTGAAAAACGCTACTGCCTTCCTCCMTTTTCCTTCCTCATCGGCAAAATGTGTGCCCAGTGGAAAACGTAGCAAAAACGCAGAATTCAGCCATCTTTGTTTGTTTTCATTTGCACAATGTTGCCATTSCTCAATACGYATATATAGTTTTGTACACATCTATGTTTYCAATTACAATTTTTTATAATATAAAATATCAAAACTGAAAWCAAACTATTAAAAATAGTTTATATATTTATAAATAATAGCATTCGACTCCAATTTTGAGTTATTTTAAGAAAATTTCAAACATATTGAACGTATTGAATTATAAAAGTTGATAATTACTACAGTATATATGTAGATATTGGCAACCCCGGGTTATGAGAGAGCAATCAGCTGACACGTTTAGACGGCAAAAATCCAAATGCCATGAATTCTCACGTCATTATACGTCAAAGAGAGAAGGGAGTAGCGTTTTTCACWGTGCACTCACATTGCGCGCCCATAAGATAGGTCGAATCAGCTGACACGACCCACGATTCTGCGTTTTTGACTGTTTCTGTTATAACACAAATGGTCAGCTTCGATTTTGCTTGGAGATGGTGTCATTTTTTTTGGGTAATCCCAGGAAACTTTGTAATTGTTTTAAATTTTCGGCAATGGGCACTTAACTAAAGCTTCGATTTGGTTGGAGATGGTGAGATTTTTTTATTTTCAATAACGTGACTCATAATTCCTACTCCTTTTTTCAATTTACATTTTTCCCTATTAATTGCAAGTCTAAAGTCTTTAGATTGATTCAACACTTCTTCTAAATTACCCACAGCATCATTTTCATTCATAGCTGTTTTCATTATGCCATCTATGTAAGGTAGTGTTATTCCCCTACGCATAAAATGTCGGAAATTCGCATTTGGACATCTTAATATAGCTCATTACGTATACCATCATTAATATCTGGTTCAGACTCATTGAATTTAATACATGCGAAATCGCAAGTTCCTCTTAATGATAATTCTTGTCGTCCACMCAGCTTAATGGTTTCAACAATGGGAACCAGTCTTTCCTATTTTTGGCAATATTAGCGGATCGCGCGATGTCTAGTTGACTCCTTATGTCTATTTGTTTTTTTTTTTCATATACGCTTATAAAATAATCAGCAAATAATGTGCAGTCTTGATGATACTTGCTTTGCTCATGCCGCTTAAAATCCGCGATCGCGTCTTTCCACTTGTTTAATGGTTTCACAACCAATAAGCTCAGTTTTTGGTGTGCACCCTTCCCAACACATTCAGCTGCAAATAAAACGCAAATTTTGCACAAAGCACCTTCAGGCTTTTTTAAGGTATAGACCAGCCAGGAGAATTGATCGAACCATTTGTGCTGAAATTTCAAATGTCTTTTGTCGTCTGTGATTGGGAATTTGTAAGATTTCTCTGGTACCCAGGGTTTTTTCAATAACGCATATTTTAGTTCATCATCAATTTTTTGTTTTGAATTAGCATAAGATCCTAAATCCAATTTGTCAAGCGGATTAAACGTAGTTTCGTCTCCAGAAGAACTGATGGTGGCGGCGACAGGAATAATAGGAGTTGAGCTATCAGTAGACACTGATCTGGTTCTGGTTCCTTAGCACTATCATCATTTTTTTGTTTTTTTTTCCAAGTATTTGAAAAGTGTGTTGTTGCTTGAACGGTTCGACATCACAAAACTATTTTAAAAAAAATTTAGTATGCCTACGAATACAACACAACTTCTTTCTAACAACATAACATTGCACTTTACTTACCTAATCAATAAAATAAACTAAAACCTTTTATTTATTCAAGCAAACTTAACAATATTATTAACCAAATTAACTATAACGAACTTGCTACTGTTAAACGAACTTCAAAAGTGACAAAATTGATTAAATATGTGATCATATGCGCGAAATAAGAACCGTTATTAAAATTTACAAAGAAGGAAATGGCAAAATAAACTTGCATGCTTAGTCCTCTTTCAAACACGGCCACTTTTGGGGGGGATTAGCTGTCTTTTAGAATATTATGGATGTTTCGACGCTAAATGGCTAGGTTTTATGGACAGAAATTCACTGTATGTAATTGGAATGCGTCAAAAACATATGTATAAGCGCAAGATTTTTTCGAAAAACTTGGCCTATACCTTGATCAGGGTGAAATAACGTGTAGAAATCGCGTACATAAAAAGAAATTGTCGGCTGATATTGTCATGAATGTCTGGGCAGAAGCGGAATAGACAAGTACTTAGGCGGATGTTGCTCTAAAAAAGAGATAACCAATTCAGCGAGCAATCTGCACATTCATTTATACTCAAAAAATTTAAAAAATATTAAGAACAAAATAAAATTATAGTCAATACAACTATGAAATGTTATGTAAATTCAAACTTAATTTGTAGTCAGTAAAGTTAAGAAATATTAGAAACAAAGTAAAATCATAAGGTTTTTATAGGATACCCTTGTGCATGTGCGACTTTTTATTAACTTAACAGAAGGGTTAAGGGTAATTGAAATCTATCTCTTATAATGGCTTTGTTTAATTGTCTATATTCTATATATCTTAAAATGAATCTTTCACTTATACCGTCTTTGAGTCACTGATGTATTTGATCGTCAACATTACTTATTTGTATTAATAGCAGCATACGTCGTCTAAAAAATATTGGAATTTCATCATGTAAAACAAAATTCATTTGCACATTTGTTGATTTTCACTTGTTCTTTTTAAATTCGCACACCGTACTACGCACTTCTCATCGGTATCAATTTTATCTACTACTGAGTCCACTCTCATCAAATCATCATTTATTTGTGCATAGTATATCTGCTTGCAAGCATAAATCTTCGCCGATCACCACGCCAATATTAGTCAATTTTGAAGGCAATACTAAAAAATTTAAATCATAAACTTGATTGTCAATGCTTATATCAAGACTGATGTCACCAATTGGTTTTATATTATTGCAAGGCTTACGTTCAGCAAAAACGATTAGACGAATATGTAACTCTTTTAACACAGGTTCTTGTAGCTACTTGAAAACATTATCAATAATACTTTTATTTACAAATAAACACTTCTTTTTCATAATAGTGTTTTTGGCACACAAACGAAAGGTTTAGAATCTTCTACATATGTCACGAAAACTTTATTGAATAACGCGCTTCGGAAAACGATTTCTATGTTTATTATCCTCTTCTGCTCATAGGTTTTTCGTAATTTCTGACTGTCATATTTCTTGCAACTCGTTCGCTTCCAACATTTCCCATTTTGTTCTCGCCGTTGTTGAAATTCAAATGTGATAATACCTGCGATAACCTCATCAAAGCTGCGCATAATATCCCCATCATCATCGTTGTCTTCGGCATCTTCGTCGACACGTTTGTCATCGTCGTTCTCCGCCGCTACACATAGCAACGTTGTGTTTTACAAATTTCGACATAGTATGTACAGTTTCAAATTACTTGCAGTACATATCAAACCTAATACGTTACAGATTGACAACGAATCTTCAGCTCTCAAACTTTTTACTATGTAGTTCAATTTTTGTGCATCTGCTTCTGTTTCGGAAAGGAAAAATATTAATCCTTGAAGATTCATCAGAAGTCAATAAAAAAATAAATGGTTTTATTAATGTAGAATAATTAACAAAATGACGGCTCTAGAAAAAATCAATAATTAAACAAAAATCTTTAAATATTCTAAGAACACTCTATAAATTTCATTGAAATCTATAGAGCGGTTTTCGAGCTACAGTGGTCGCCTGTTCAAAAACTATACATATATTATATTTGCTAATTATGGAGTAACTCAAAAAATATTTCTATAAGTTATAACCATATCCTTTTATTTTTATGTGGTATCAAATGAAAAGAGTTTTGAAAATCTTCGATGCTCACATATGTATCTACTTATTTTCTTTATATATCCCAATATGTATTCATTTAATTATTTACATATTAACTACTCTGGCAGTTTCATTTCTATCGCACGTAGTTCTATTTTTTCAACCATATTAATTATGGCTTCTTATATTTCGATCAAATGTAATTTAATGAATCCTCTTGATTAGTATACCACATAGCCATAATTTATCAGCAACACATTTGCTTGCATCGCCGGATGGTTCACGTTACTTATTGGATAATTCTAATGGTAAGTAAAGGCAGGACATAATATGAGCTAACTCAATGAAACTACTTTATAGATCTGAGTCAATTAGATGAAAGCTATTCACGACTAGCTGGTTGTGGGTCCAGCCCCGATGGCACATCGCTTTGGGCGCGGCATGGAATATCTGCCTCTCACAATTCACTTATTAATTGTTTTTTAGTTTGTCAACGTAGATTAAAACAGTATATGGCACGACGAAAAGTAAACAAAGACATAATATTTGCAAAAACAAAAATCATGCTTTATTATAAAAAATTACAATATTCATAGATTGAACGAGGTTTGCGCCTTTACGAACAACATAATCAAAATGCTGCGGTACGCATTTGGCGAAGCGCTTTGAAAGCGACTGATCGCCGAGAAGACTGTTTTCAATTACTTGGTTATCTTTATCAGGCCCATATGGATTGGGGTAAATATCGTGAAGCGATAGAATTTGGACATCGACAGTTAGGAATATCTGAAGAGTTGGATTCACCTACAATGCGTGCGGAAACTTATCTAAATTTGGCGAGAGCCCACGAGCGCCTCGGCGGTCTGGAACGTGCTCTCAGCTATGCACGCCATTCTCTGTATAACGAATGTGGGACCCAATGTCGAACTGGAGGGCTTGTGCATTTGACAGTGGCGCGCGTTTACTTGGAGATGGGAGGATTTTCGCGTGCACTTGAAGGTTTGCAAGGGGCTCATAAGATAGCCACTTCCATAGGTGATCCATCGCTCGAGTTGCAGGTGTATGTGACGCTGTCTGAGCTGTTCGGTCGTCTGCAGGATAATGATAAGAGCGCAACCTATGCATCTAAAGCTTATGATTTATCGCGTTCATTACAGCTGGGCGATCTCAATTCGTCACATCATCGCGCTGCATTGTTGCGGATGGCAGCTGCTCTCCGTAAACAAGGCGATCTGGGTGACGCGCATGACTATTGTATGGTGTGTATATTTTGGCAAGGATCCTGTCAATTCATGATAGTTATTACAATTTACTTCACTCTACTTCAGGAAGCCACTCGCCTTGCGTTGATTTCTGGGGACCAAGCAACATATACGCGCAGCTTACGAATAATGGGTGATATATATCGCAAGAAAGTGGACATGGATGTGAGTTTATATTTAGTTTATACGCAATTTATAAATTTTCTATAAAAGTTGACCTTCAAGCGCGCTTTTCGACAATATGAACAAGCTATGGGAACTTCAGCTGCACTAGGCGATCGCATGGCACAAATGGAAGCAATGGATGGGGCTGCGCGCTGTTTAGAATCATTGCGGATACAGCAAAAAATTTGTAATTGTCGGCCACTTGAATTTAATACGCGTTTGCTTGAGGTCGCAAGCTCCATTGGCTCCAAGGTACTTTTAATTTTTCTGAAATTCATTCCATTTCTTCTTTATTATAATTCTATGCATCTGGACAGCTTTTGGTGCGTAGAATACGGAGTCGTCTTGCTCTTATCTATCGTGCTTTAGGCGATGAAGAACAGTACAGTACACATTTGCGGCTGGCGGGTCAAACAGATGCAGCGCTTGGGTTGTTTTGTGGTGCATGCGGTGACACTTTTGGCTTAGAGCCGAGCTCAATAGAAGCACTACCATGTGCTCATATCTTACATGCACGGTTAGTAATTAATTCGCTTATATACATACATATATATTAGGGTGTTTTTTTTGAACTATTAATTTTTTTCAGTTCCGTCACGAAATTTCCTTGGAAATACCCTCAGAAATGTCCCTGAAAATTTTAACCCTTAATATTAACATTCAGAACTGGGCCAAGGCCTGTAAACATTTTCCTTAGAAAATATACTACAATCGTGAGTTTTTATCTTTAAATTCCTTCAGATCAGAGGTATTTTATGGCATTGCTTTGACTTTAGACGCATATTTCTCAGAATTGTTTACTCTACGAAAGTGCCTATTGCAACAAAGTCGTAACTCATACCAGCGAGATAGTACGGGGCTCTAAACCCGATTTTTCCAAGAATCGCATTTTTTTGTATATATCTCGTAAATGACAAGAGCTATAGAAAAAATGTTTATGAAAAATTTTTAGGAAATTTTATTTGCTATAAAAAAGGTCCGAGGTCAAAATCGCTATCATTAATATTTCTGGAGATATTCAGCTTTTTAAGTAAGGCTGTATGCAATTTTCATAGATTTTTTTAATATAATACATATCATCTATAAGTATACTTATATATGCTCTTTAAGAAATAATCATTGCAGTGACTTTCAAAAGTATTATTTTGTAAAATATTTAGTTGCACCAGAAATAAGCTTGGTGCACAAGTACTTCTCATTTCGAATTTATTACCTTTTTTTATTATTAGTTTTTGCAGCCGATAGGTTTTTTTTCTTCGCCAATTAAAAGTCTTCGAGTTGTGGGCTGTTATATATTCAATTAAAACCAGAGAAATTCTTTAAGATGTAAAACGTCAACCAGAGGATCGGAATCTAAGAAATTTTATATATACATATGCTCTATATAACTCTTATATGTTTTGTTAGAAAAACGAAAGTTATTATATGTAGTACTATATATGGGAGTTAGTATCGACCCGATATTATCCATTAACTACTATCATTACCTTACATACAATCACCAATCATATGAAACAAAGTCAAATGGATGTTCGAAATCCTGATATTGGTCATATGGGTTTAGGTCACATTTTCGCCCAATTGATTCTGTTTTATTCACAATAATACATTGTTATGTTATGCACAAAACATGTTCTGTAATTTTCATTGACATAACTCAATTTAATGTCTCTGGCGTAAAATTAGTTATGGACTTATTTCGCTTTTAGCAGTTTTGAATAGTACCGTTATATGGAAGAGTGTGCGGGGTCATCTTCCGATTTCATCCATCATCGCACTGTCGGTAGGAGTTCTTATAATATTCGAGAGTAGCAAGTTTAGTTTTAGTATCTTTAGTGGTTTAGGAGGTATGTACATTAAACATTTTAGAGGGCGTGGCCACGCTCACTTTTTCAAAATTTTTTACACAAAGGTGCCCTTGGTACTGCGATTTTCAGATCAGTCAACCGAATTTCAACTTTTCTCGTCACCCTGATCATTTATATATATATAATTGTATACCTATCTCTCATAGTTTTAGGTGGCACGTACAACCGTTAGGTGAATAAAACAATAATAATCTGTAGCAACTGATTGCAAGAGTATAAAAATAACATATTTATGCGCGGAACACAATGCTCGCGACAGACTGCCCCAGCACGACAGTGAACTGAAAACGGCGTTGTGAATCCTACTACAAGAACGTTTGTGAGGGGGCAGCAACATAACGTTGGCCGGCATGTACACAATGTTGTGGCCATACTAATACCTTGCACTTCAATGAAATTTTAATATTTGGTTCAAAGTGAAATTTTTAAGCCAAAAATAAGTAAATAGGTAAATTTATTTGTTTTAAATTATCAATTGTTATTATAAATGATGTAACAGAGCTATTTTATGCTTTTATTTGTAAAATAGCGTCAGTTTTGTTAGAGCTTTGAGTAATTTTACATTTTACATATTAGTGGCATCACCACTCTACCTCATCTCTCTATCTTCCATTCTACTGCCAACTCTATTATCGTCCTACTGCCGTTAGCAAATATAGGATAAAATTGAAGTTAGCGAGAACGACAACTGTTGGCCTGCCGTCGTGTAGCCGTCCATAAGAACGTGTATATTTTAATATTTGACAGATGTCGTTTTCAGTCTGTCGGGAGCATTGTATTCCACACATTAGCCATTACGTACACATGAGTGTGATCTACTAGTGATCAAGCTACTAATATTGATACCAGGAAAAACATTACTCAATCCCTTTCAGTTGAACCGAAAAATAGTCTGGAATTATAATGCCAGCCAATAATGCATAGAATGCATTACTTTGGGACTTTTTCATTGCCTGCCTATAGGTAGACAGGTAGAAATGTAAACATTATCGCCATGCCTTTAGGTCTTGCTATCTTGTTTCGTTGTTGCGTTCAATCTATTTGTTACCCTCAATAAAAGTAGTTATCTCTTTGATGCTTTCTGTAGATAAGCATTCGTAGTTTGGTAAGAGCATTCCCATGTTTAACTCATATTATCGAAATCGTCGACCTCGTTATGGTAGCTGTAAGTTAGTATATTCTGGACTTATTTAATAAATTCTTAGTTTTTGTCTAGGCAAATTTTGGCCGTATTTACTTGGCAATCTTGCATTTGGCTATATATTTCCATCTGTTTTGCGCTATATTTTAAATTGTGTATTGAGCTTCTTTTGATTGTTCCAAGCCGGCATGGTATTCTGCCTCACACAGATTCGTCTGGGCTTCTGGCTTGGCCAACTGTTGTTCGTTGACAAAACTGTTCCTGTGACCGGGAACCCAAATTATGGAGTTGACTTTTCAGTGACATTAAACCCTCCCTACAGTTGCTGATAACGCTGCAAGTAATCTTTATCGACGATAAGGCTGGCAATGCCATATCTGTATATATGGTACTTATTGAATTCATAGTTATTCAGTAAAATTCCCCAACTTTAGAGATGTTAAGTTCAGAAGAACCTAATTTGATTTCTTTCATAACTTCATTAAGCAAAAAGTCTGGGTTTGAAAATAGAATTAAGAAACTATTATTAGTACCATTGCCTCGGATTGGAATACTCGAACCAAAGTTATTTTGAAACTCTTCCAATTTCGGTAGAAAATGTTGCTTTTAAGCCACCGCTGAGTAGTTATTGCTAAGTGTGCTGGAGCAGTATTTTGCTGGAAGATATAATGTTTTCCATTAAAGAAATTATTAAATTCTGCTGGTACATATTTTACACAACATTGTTAGTAAACGAGAAAAAACACAGTGCATACAAACCATAATAAACAAGTAAGGAAGGTCTAAGTTCGGGTGCATTTTATACTCTTGTAACTTGCAAGAATCAAAACATGGCAAATACTTTAGAGTGTAAAACCAATCATATAGAGTAAGGTAGCCGGATGTTCGTAAATCTTTAGCTAAGAAAAGTATTGGTTCGATTCAATCCATTTTTGACATATAGACATACTATTATAAGAGAAGAATTATCACTTAATTTCAGTTATACATATTATATATTTTCGGCCAAAAGTCAGTTATGGATACTGGGGTTCACATATTTGGTACCTACAGTTTTCAACAGTTTTGATTGGACTTAAACAATTTTTGGCCGAAAAGTGCCAAGGTGCAAATTTTGTTCCGTTATATTAATTACTTTTGAATTTGTGTACGTGAAAGTGAAATACTCAAATGGAATTTTAAATCGTGTTCTATATGAAGTAGGCGTGGTTGCAATCGCCCATTTTGCACCTAAAATGAATACAATTAGGCGAAAACTTCACCTAGCCTCCATATGACCAATACCATAAATTTTTAAACACCCGGCTGATTTTGTCCGCCTGTGGTTTATAGTTTACATCGAAAGGTATTTCCCTGGCTTGGATTCCAGTGCACGAGTATAAAATGTTCGGTTGCACCCGAACTTAAGTTTATAGAACTCACAGACTGACCGTAATGAAATGTAAAAATTTCTCAGTAGAGTTAGACACAACAAAGAGAAAAAACTGTAAACAAATAAATAAATTAAAAGCAACTCATCTGAATTTACCTAACAATGGACTTTTCAAATCGAAAAATGCGAACATTATCTCCATTAAATTGAAACAATTTTAAACAAGACGATGCATTTTTAATGTTAAAAATAGCTGTTTTATATGCTATGGACAATGTAATGTAGATTTTTTCTATGAGCGCTTGGATGTGAAAATCCTGCTTGGTGACGGTAACGCCAGAATGCGCAAAGAAAGTATATTTGACACAATAGTCGGTAATTACAACCTCCATGACGAAAGATCCCCAAATCTGTTGAGGTTGATCGACTTCGCCGAGATCCAAAATCACAAAATACATCCAACTTTTTTTTTCTACACGACTTGCACCACTGTTTTCTGAGAGCACCCTTAGCAACTCGGTATATGGTAACTGTGGGAAGGCATTCCAACTTCCTTACGTACAGCTGCAAACGAATCCATAGGTTTTAGGAAAAGGCAAGAGGACAGATGGTAGGATGAAGATTGCCATGTTGTAGTGGAGAGAAAACATATTTTCTACTTCGCAATATGACAATCGACCACAATATGTGCATTCGCAAATAAAAAAAAAGAGAGACCGAAATGCGTGGGTCCAAAGGGGCTGAAAAGCTGGCCGATAGGGGCAATGCTCAAAAATTCTACGAAAAGATACGGCGACTAACAGAAAGTTTCAATACCGAAGTATCCTCTTTTAGAACCCCCAGAGCACTAGATCATCTGATGCCCATTCATAATAAAATTCAGAAAAAAAGTAACCCCACAATCTGCGCCTACTACGATGGGATAAGCCTCCTCAACATCATACATAAGTTTCTATCGAGCATATTGTGTGAAAGATTAAAGCTTTCGTTCAACAAACTTATTGCAATTTATCACTTTGGATTTCGTTCTGGAAAATCAAAAACCGACCAGATATTCACAGCGCCGAATTATGGAAAAGACCAGTGAAAAGTGGATCAACACACACCACCTGTTTTTTGACAAAACGAAAAGGAGCTGAATTTATAACGCCGGAATTTGGTATCCCAGCACAACTAATACGCCTGTGTAAACTGACGTTGAGCAATACCAAAAGCCGTAGATAATTTCGTTCATATTGGAACCTTGTTCCTTAACGGGACTGCGCACAAGGTTTCTCATATAATTAAGAATTTATTAAGTCTATGTTTAAAAAACATTTGCCAAATATATATATTTATATAGGTAGAAATAATATTTTTAGTGTAAAGTAATATTTTAAATATAATTTTTATTGAATCCTTTAAACAGACAGGACATGTTATTCAAAGAATTTATTATTACAAGATTCTTGCGATATGTGTTACATGAAGAAAATGCATAACTGGTTCGTTATATGTGTACTTAAGAATTTAGTGGACAGTGTAATTTTGTTTTCTTCCACTGTTACGTAACATACCATATACATATATTTATTTCCTTTATATACGTATAGTTGCGCTCATGATCTTTTGCGACGGCGAGAAAAGGGCCCCTCACGTGCTTGTCCTGCATGTAATAAATTATTGAGCTCACGACTTCATCTTTGTGGTAATGAAAGCAGTTGTGGACCTGGTAATGACAGCGGGCCCACCAACACCTTAAATACCAATGACGCTGCTTCTGACGGTCTACTGGCAATCGATACGGTTGATATTATGGCGCCACTTTGTACAGCGAATGGTAGAGTCATACGTAATTCCAATGAAAAGACGATCATCTGTAACGGCTTGACCAGTGCTGCGACAAATGTTGACAGCACCTCTTTGCTATTGACCACAACTTCATCACCAAAACCGTTGTACCGGAGTAATTTATCCTTGGCATCCCTGAGTTTGCGTGCTTCTAGTTTAACTATAGATAGCGCTCGAAATGCCACGTCGTCGGTTTAGAAATGATTGAACATATTTAAAAATCAACAAACATATTGTAAAAGAAATGGCTAAATATACCATAACATAAGTATCCGTGCTCATAGGCACCTAAGTTGCATGGAGGTCTTTTAAAAATTGCAGTCAATGTTATTAAAAAGGGATCCATATTCAAAAAGTTGAAAATTCGTGCGAAATGTAATTCAAAACAATGTACCTACTAGTAGTCATAGAAAAAAGAATGTTGTAATGAAACATTAATGCGCGGAACACAATGCTCGCGGCAGACTGCAGCAGCACGACAGTGTACTGAAAATGGCGTTGTGAATCCTACTACAAGAACATTTGTGAGAGGGCAACAACATAACAATGGCCGGCATGTACACAAAACAACGCAGTTGTCCATTTTGCATTTATACAATTTCGTTGTGGCCATACTAATACATTGCACTTCAATGAAATTTGAATATTTTTTTAAAAGAAATTTTTATGCAAAAAATAGGTAAATAGGTAAATTTATTTGTTTTAAATTATCAATTGTTATTATAAATGATGTAACAGAGCTATTTTATGCTTTTATTTGTAAAATAACGTCAGGATTGTTAGAGCTTTAAGTAATTTTACATTTTATATATTAGTGGCATCACCACTCTACCTCATCTCTCTATCTTCCATTCTACTGTCAGACTGTCGCGAGCATTGTATTCCACACATAAAGAAGAAAGTGAGGGAGTGAGAGTCCTTTTGTTTGTATTTTAAGTGTATTGTAATAAAAAATAGAAAGATAGTATGTATATCATTCTTGATCCTATACGTAAATGGTGGGCATTTCATATAACAATCAAGGATAATGGTGTGCCCAACTTATTCAAGAGTCAGAGATTTTCCATTGTAGCCAGATCGGAAAAATTAACTATTTTGGGGATTTCAAACTAAAACACCCAATATTTATTACGATAAAAAATATTATATACATATTCGTTTGATTTATAGAGAAACAATTTATTATGACTATTTTTAGGATTTTATGGTACATTAAAACAACTGACTTTTGAATTTTCAATACAAAATAAAGGGATTTGAGCATAATGTCTATCAATTAATAAATGTTTTCAATAATTTTCCACTGTAAATTAATAATTTGATGCATACATTTATAAAACATTTACATTTAAATTTCTTTGTATTTAATTTTCACAAGTCCCTTCATTCACATATCTATATATTTTTGGTAGAATTTCAATCTGGTCGTTCCAATCGTTAAAATTGCGAAACGTCAAAACCTTCCAAAAGCGAGTCTCTATCGCTGGCACAATAGTGCAAGTTGACGACACCAATACCCTGATACATTTAACACATATGTAGGCGACAACACGCGATAGGCAGCATCTGTCAAATATTAAAATTCTCAAGTTCTTATGACCACATTTCGCAAAACTAAAACCATTTCTAATTTTGCCGACGACAATGGGCAGCTGTAGTCTAGTCTAAAGTTATTTTACCGGGAGAATACAGAAACTGCTCTGATATATAATTTTTATAGCAAATTATTACTTTTTATATATTTTTTGCACAAAAAATTTCACTATGATCAAAATATTTAAATGTCATTCAAGTGAACGGTTTTAGTACAGCAGCAACGAAGTTGTGTACATCACCTTTTTGATATCTCGCTGGCCTCTTCAAAACGTTCAAGAGTCTGGCTTCAGACGACATTTGCATACAAGAAAATTTCGCTGGGGTGCAGTCATCTTTTTGCTCATAAAATTGACGTGTGCTTTACACGAAGTTCTATGTGATTATATATGAATTTTTTGTAATGAAAAACATTTTGTGTTTTAGGTTATTTAAAGACAATAAAGTTAAGGTATTTATTATTCCAACATAAGTCGTTTAATTGTTACATATATAAAATAAACAAAAAAGCATAGAATTTCTTGTTTTACGAAATAATAAAAAATTTCTTATTTGACGGTTACATATTTCTCAGGGGGCGTCTTTAGTTTCGTGCTTTCTCGCTCTCAACTATACGGCTGATTTCACGAACACCTCAAATTGCTAGTTTAGATTTCTTAATAGAGTCCGCTGCCATATGATAATCAGCTGTTTGATGTAAAAGGAGAATAATAATCCTAGAAGTTAAATAAGAACACAGAGGAAGTTATTATATACATAAGTGAGTGTTCGCATCTTTTTAGGTCCGCATTAAAAACGCTGGAACTAGCAGAAGTAAATCAAGAAATCCCGTAAGGATGAATAATTATTGCATACTAAAATTATGGAATTTCAGTTCTGGTGTCATTGATCTACTACTTGGTTATATTAACTAATATATCCTTTTCTTGAAAGTGGTCAGTGTAATTCATATGTATAATTATTATCTTTATTAACTCTTTCTCTCTCCTTTTCTTTTGAAGTTAGTATTTTGTGTGCTTCCTTCAACGTCTGTCTTAGGCAAACTACTCAACTATAGTTAGTAAAATGTACATTAATTTTAACTCTATGAATAGTTTTAATGGTTTAAAGCTAAATAAATATTAAATAATGTTAAGCGATTAGTAACTTAAAATATTGTTAACAGAATATTAAATAAGTTACCTATTTATAAAAAAAATTGTTATAATTATTGTGTTCCAAATGGGTCGAGGTCAAATTATGACTAATCAATATACAATCCCCACCAAGAAAAACGGAATTAAAAATGGTCATTATGCCTCTAATAACTATGAATTGGATATTGAATATTATTTTATATTACAGATGGGAAAATCAAACCAGTGCCATGCACAAAAAAATCGCTAAAAATCTTTAACTTTAGCTCCAGCTAAGGTGTAATACCCTTCAAAAATAAGAAAGTTTTCATACAAGAACTAAAATTTGATTTGAGTTAAAATATTTATTTTTTCACTTTATTTTTAGTATCGGAAAAGAATCCAAGTTTTCAATCAGAAATTCTCTCCTAAAATTGTTTCTTCATGGAAAACTCTACTTTATGATGGAGTTAAAAAACTTAATGCTCGTATAACTGTGGTAACCGGTTCATACCTTTTTTTAATACGCTTTTATTAGCTTCACTTGTATGTATGTATGTATATATGTATGTATGTATATTTGTAACTTTTTTAAGTGGTACTGAAACGTAGAATATTTGAGCGACACTGTAGGCGACAGTAAGTTTAAGCAGCTCACCAAAAATATGCAACATCTATATAAAACTGACGACATTTGAGTAGCATATGTACATATATACTGAAATATACATATGTATATCCTTAAAGAAAGTAAGTACAACCGCGCACCAGAAGAAATAATATCAAATAATGCAAAACATGTGACTTTTAGGTAATAAAAAAAATTAATAATTATAATAAAATTTTTGTAGTAAAAAAAAATTCAGA